TCTTTCTCTCTCCTCTCTTTCACTGAATCTGCTCTAGTAAAGAAGAAGAGCAAAAATGTCGTGGCAAACTTACGTCGATGACCATTTGATGTGCGAGATCGAGGGCACCAATAACCACCTCTCCGCCGCCGCTATTCTCGGTCTTGACGGCAGCGTCTGGGCTCAAAGTGCCAATTTTCCTCAGGTCTATTCTTCATCAATTTAATTTTTTTGGGAATTTAATCTGATTCATAGATCTAGTTGGTGGTTAATTTCATGTGGGTTTGATTGATTTTGCTTGATCTGATGTTTTTATCATCTGGGTATTTTTTGTTTCATCGATTCCTTTGATGCGTCGGTTTTAATTTTGATTATTAATTTTGGTTCTAATTTTTAACTATTAATTGGTTGTTTTCTGGGTTTGAGCTTAATTGTGTGCTGATTTTGTATTTCTTTTGTCGATGATTTCAGTGAATAATAGTGGAATTTAGGGTTGATTATGACCACTGATTCATTAAAAGAATTGTGTGATATTTAGGAGTTGATAAAATGATGAGATCTTGTGAGTAGTTTTAGTAGAATTTAGGGAAGAGTGGCATTATTTTGTTGATGACGTGAAATTGTGAAAATATACATTTATGGAGTTTGAATTTTTATTGTGCTCATATGCTTTATGTTTCTTGATATTGCAGTTCAAACCAGATGAAATCGCTGCTATTTCCAAGGATTTTGATGAGCCTGGAACCCTCGCACCCACCGGGCTTTACCTTGGTGGAACCAAGTACATGGTTATTCAAGGGGAACCTGGGGCTGTTATCCGTGGCAAGAAGGTAACGATTGATTGTTCTGGAACCATTTTCGGGTCGATGTTGTTACTGGCTTGATGGTTCCCCTTGCTTAGTTTGTTATGCGTGCCTGTATCTCTATCCACTATTCCATGGTTTCGTTTCCTAAGTGAACCGAAACATGAATAATTGCTTTGCTATACCTGCATGCAGTCCTTTAAGGAATGTCTCTTGTACTCCCTCCATCCCTAAATTACATTCCTACTTCTCTCTATTATATGAGGAATAAAGGCTAGAAGTAGGAATGTAATTTAGGGACGGAGGGACTATATGGTTTTTGTTTGTGAAAAGTGGAATGTACGATAATTAAGGCAATTTGCAAAATAATTTTGGAGTTTGATTGGGTGGGAAAATTCTATGGTCAGGACCTAGCCTTTCTTTTTTTTTTTTTTTGGGCATGAAGGTTGCCCCTTGTATCTCCTTGTTTATTATTCTTTTGGTAGGTCTTTCATAGTGTAATGTCAATATGGGCTAGTCAATCTGATATTATTATTCGTAATATCAAGAATGTGGTCAAATAGGATTGATTAATCTTGAATTTTTGTTTGGTTGCCCTTCCTTCAGCCTCGAGGTACTATATCTTTTACATGCCTGGCATAATTCTCTCCTCATTCAAGGCCCCTGATTGCAGTAATTGTGTTTGTAACAACACATCAATATAGTGATACTCATTTTCGCTCTTTGTGTCACTACTTTTTGTGTTTCATAGTAGTAGAGAGGCATCTTCAATTAGTTGAAGTATTGTGTGTACATTATGTGAGACATCTAGCTGTGCTTCAGTTACAGAGTGTATCATTTTTAAGCTGGTCCTTATTGTTTCTTTATCATACATACTACAGGGTGCAGGTGGCATTTGTGTGAAGAAGACCGGAATGGCCTTTGTTATTGGTATATATGATGAACCGGTGACTCCTGGTCAGTGCAACATGATTGTTGAAAGGCTGGGTGATTATCTCATTGAGCAGGGTCTCTAAATAGTTTGGTATGTCCAATCCTTGTTACCTGAGTATGTGCTAATTTTAAGTACATAATATACTTTTATGTCAATGTGATCATGTGAAATACAACTATCTACCATGTATAGTCATATTTCCATGCTGAAGTCTTTTAATTTTGGCAATTTGTATTAACATCAATTGCACAATGACATAACTACAAATATGGAGATTAAGTTTTTGTGAATAACATATGTCGTTCTTATCCCCGGCTTTCGTTGCACCTTTGTTGATAATAAATTCCCTCCGTGTCACAATGAAGTTCCTTGTAGCCAAATTGAAATGTTGTTAAAAAGACGATGCTCCTCTATTTTATTCAACTGAGAGTTCCACTGACAATTTACTCTTAATAAATCATGTCAAAGTCAATTTCGAACTTCTTTGTGAAATGTAAAGAGTATAATACTAGTATAAAATCTGTTATTTATCATGTCTCATTCTCAATTTGCTTTTTCTGAATAAGGTTGAAATCTTCTGTGTAGGTTGATAATTACATATTTGATGTACACAAAGGAGCTTGGTGTGGATTTGCTTCTCTATATACTGGGGATTGGCTTTCTATCGTGAACTATTTATTATCCTTTGTGCTTTTTCCCTTGAAGAATTTGTGTTAATTTTTTGTATGAACTGTTTGCGTTGATCTTGGAGATGGTTGATCCATACAGCGGCTTATGTTTTCAAATATGGAATAATAATTGTAATTCTGCAAATGCCTATTTATTTAAATGGCTATCAAGCCTTTCATATTGTCAAGGTTAATTAATTGAATTAATGATAAGGAGAGGGTTCCTAGCAAAATCGACAGTCTTCTATAATGCTTGAATGTGAGGTATGTGATAATTCCGTGAAATCTGAATTCAAGTAATACAGTTATTCAAGAAGGATTACATATTTACATATGATCAATTCTAATCTGTCATGGTCAGTTTGAAAATTATACTACCCATTGATCAAATCAAGTGACCTTAGTTTTGGTGGTTCGGTCTCTGTCTTGTTAGAGTAATCAGACCTTTGTAAGACGAACTTCTCAAGCTGGCCAGGGGAACGGTGCTATAAATCTATGTTACTCGGATTTTTTATTTGAAGTTCTTGTATTTAGATCTCCTAAATGTCTAATACTCCATATGTTAGATAAAAAAAGAACACGATCAAGGTTACTTATACAGTATATCTTTCCAATTTAGAAAAGAGGTTGACGTTAATCTAGCATACTTTAACTAGACTTTTATCAAGAATAGCAAGTACATGTACTATAAATCCAACTCGTTAATCGAGTACATAATTAACTATAAAACGTGTCTAAGAGTTGGCCTTGACTCCAACATCGAACACGAAATAACTAACCCACATTAGGCTCCAAGTTTGTTAATACAAGTACATCCTTATGTATCATATTCAATTGGAAAAAAGTGTTTTTAAATTGAAATGTTGAATTAGAATTATTGTTCTAGTACTTTTTACCAATGAACACCAACCATGGGACTACATAAAATCTTGAGGAGAGGTATTCAAGATCTATTGTTATCAATTTCATTTGTGGACTTGAAAAAAAAAATCCAATTTTTTTAAGCTTAAGAATCATAATCAACCTTGAAAACCTAAAATTATACAACTATACCATATCAATGTAATAGTTGTAGATTTTAGTACTACAACCGAGTTTCTTTGGACCCTCGTATTGTATTTGCATCATTAAAACTTAAGGGAATAACCTTTATCGATCAAAAATAGAGAAAATATAAGTTCATCTCCATGATAAACAAGTTTTATTAATCATGGGTACAAAAGTGTAATATTTGTTGGGAATTTTCTAGTAAACAAGGGTCACAAAGAAAGAAGACTATTCAATGGCTACAATAAAATTGTGGCCATTTTATTTAGTTTTAATCTTGGCCCTATATTTTCAATATTCAATCTTGTCCATTCATCCAATTGACTTTATTTTTTTAATAAAAAATGAAAAAAAAAAACAGTTTTCTTGATTATGATTAAAAAAAACAGTGTTACAGTTTCTCTAAAAAAAAAAAAAAAAAAAAAAAAAAACTGAACTTTATTTGCCATTGATGCATATACTTTCAATTTCTAAAGTTCAAAGGATTCCTCATCTCCATTAAAAATCAACAAGACAACAACGGATTATAGTTTATCAACAATATACCTAGTCTACAGCATTGTATATTACCAAAAATCCATCATTTTTGCATGGTATACCGTATACTCGTAACATATTCCACGAGATAGATATAGAAGATGATAGGAAATTTCAAGAAACCAATCGATTGACATTAAAGATAATTTTAAAAAAAAAAATGAAAACATCAATTAAAATAATTATAAATTTCATCCTTCCACCAAATTTTCTAGTATTAAAAAATTTGAAATTTTTATTTATCTCATTAAATTGAGTTTTTTTTATAAGGGTTAAAGTAAACTAAATGGATGGATATGATGAATTTTATAAATTGAAGGGTTATGATTCACTCAGTTACAATGGCCACAATTTTATTTTAGCCATTTAAAAACTCTCCTCACAAAGAAATGGAAATGAAATTATTGGAAAAATCTTTGAGGAGTGAACAAGATCACTTTCCCAAAAGTATAATTCCGACCATATACTATAACCGTGTATCACGAAAATTACTCAGGAGATACAACGAAGAACAATTACAATAACTTGTAAGATTATTGTAATTCAATGTATAAAAGTGTTTGTGATTATGTGAAAATGGACACCTAATAATAACTCTGCTAAAGTGATAAGATAGAACTTATGTTTCATCTCTCCACTTTCATTTATCATATGAGGAGTTTCTCATATATAAAAGATAGTACTCCTAGTATGTCACTATATTTTCCAATAAACAATGCTTTAGTGGTGCATACTCCGTAATGCATTAAGTCATGCACTAAACAATGCTTTAGTCGTGCATTGAACAATGCATTACGACATGCATTAAGTAACAATGCATTAACTGTCAAATGTTATCAAGAGATATGAAACTGAAACAATACATTAAGACATGTCTTAAACAATGTATTAAGACCTGCATTAAACCATGCATTAATCATCAATTTATACATAAGTTATAATGCATTAAAAAACTGTCATAATTAGTTACAGATCAAAAATAGAGATGCGGCCTATTATTTAACACGAGTAGTATAATATTTGGTCATACCAGCCCACCGAAATTGGCCATCCATGGGAATGATTAATGAACAAATACAACTCACCTTCTAAAGGTGAGAACATGTAAACCAAATTCAACCTTTGGCAAGTTCATTCGCTACAACAGAAGAAATCGAATTTCTGTAATAAGAGAGACAAAAATGGGAATTCTAAGCGCAATTACTGGTCAAAAAAATAACTCCATCAACAACAACATCAGCCAATCTATATTGATTCCTGCTCCTCTTGAACCCCATCAAATTAAAGCTGAATGTGCTCGAGGTATTCTCGGATCTTGTTCTTTATCTTTTTCTTGATTTGGGTTTTTAATTTGATTAATAAATTTCAATTTTTTTATTTATTATGAATTTCAATTGTTTATATGGGTGAGTAATTTTGCGTTTTTTTTTTCTGGGTTTATTTTTGTAGAGGCAACTCGAGCTGGATTTAAAGCGGCAGCAATTGCTTCTGTTATTGCTACTGTTACCGTGGTATGTGTTTAAATTCATAATTGTCTTCATTTTTTGTTGTTTAATTTGTTATTTTATTGGAATTTTCAAGTTTTTGTATGTTGTTAGTTTCATGAAATTAAGTTAGTGGGTGAATTATATTATGTATACTTGAAAACCCAGAAGCGTTTAGAATTGAACCCGAAAAAACTGAAACATCAATGATCATATATTTGCCCTTAGTGAATTTTTTTAGGACATATGATGAGGAATTTTCTTTATCTGCATATGGGGCAATGATATTTTTTTATTGGGTTCGTGTCGAAAAATGGAATCAAAAGATGTTAAAATTATAATCTTGTGAGCTTGAAGCTTATGTTGATAGTAGGGTGTATGTACAATGAGCAATGAATAACATAGAATAGCATTCATTATTGAGGAAGACATTGATCACAACAAAATATATATCTAATCTGGGCAATATGCAAGACTAAATATTGAGTGCTAATTCTCTATACTACACTATGTCCAGTTCAATATTAACTTGTTGATAGAGCGAATAGATCTTCCAGAGAGATGGTTGTCTAGAATTTAGGTGGTAAACTAATAGCCATCACTTATCTTGTTTCCCACCTACCAAAGTGAGAGTCCTGGATCCTGTAAAGAAGTTTTGTGGTTGCGTATATACTCTAAGCCCATCTCATCTATTCTAGTAGTGGATGTATTCTGAAATCCTTATTCCAGTGAGAATTTGATAACCATCTTCGCTTGAGAAAAATTAAGAATAGAACTAAGCCAGTATTCTGAAATCCTTATTCCAGTGAGAATTTGATAACCATCTTCGCTTGAGAAAAATTAAGAATAGAACTAAGCTAGTATTCTGAAATCCTTATTCCAGTGAGAATTTGATAACCATCTTCGCTTGAGAAAAATTAAGAATAGAACTAAGCTGAGCCGTAGGAATTATATAATCATTTCTTTGCAATTTGGGCTTGAAAGTCTGAGATCAGTCTCTCTTAGCCATTACTGCTTTACCATATCCTAAAGAGTCTCCATGTAATACATGTTCAAAAATCATATTGATAAAGACTACTTTGTTAAAAAATCATATTGATAAAGACTACTTTGTTAAAAAATCATATTGATAAAGACTACTTTGTTAAAAAATCATATTGATAAAGACTACTTTGTTAGCAGCAGTAACAATAGCAGTTCTAAACCAATATACAAGTAATAACTCTATAGCAGTAAGCCAGTAACAATAGCAGTTCTAAACCAATATACAAGTAATAACTCTATAGCAGTAACAATAGCGATCATAACATATTTTTTTATCCCACAATTTAAGCTCTTCCTTGTATGATTCAAGATAATCGTGTCCATTAGAGCCACGATTATCGAAAAATCGAATATAATGATCAAAAACTTTGAGTTTGTTTCCATCCAAGATCTAGTCGGGTTCGACTTGGTCGAATTGTTTTGCAACAAGATGTGGTTTATGATGAACCATAAAGTTGTTGCAAAAGATTGAGCCAAGTCGAGTTACGAAGCGTTTATCCTGTTTAAGCTCATCTGGAAGCACCCAATTGGCATAGGGTGTCCAGCAAATATCACTGTTTTGTTGAATAATATTTGCTGGACACCCTATGCCAATTGGGTTCTTCCAGATGAGCTTAAACACGATAAACGTTTCGTAACTTGACTTGGCCCAATCTTTTGCAACAACTTTATGGTTCATCATAAACCACATCTTGTTGCAAAACAATTCGACCAAGTCGAACCTGACTAGATCTTGGATGGAAACAAACTCAAAGTTTTTTTATCATCAAATTCGATTTGTCGATAATCGTGGCTCTAACGGACACGATTATCTTGAGTCATACACGGAAGAGCTTAAATTGTGGGATAAAAAAAAATATGATTATAGAAGTCGATGGTAGCAGTGATGATTGCTACAATGATGGTGATGATGACGTGCCACGTGGTGATGGCGGGCCGCATCTTCGGAGAGGCAGTCGTAAGCGGTTGCCACCTCAATGGTTCCATAACCTATAAGGTGGATTGTAACTGATGTGCCTGTTTTTTTTTATGAATTTGTAAAGTCATAGAACAAGTGGATTTGTTGTGCCTCTTTTTTTTTTTTTTTAAATTGTTGAGTAATAGATTTAGGTGGATCTTATGTGCATATTTGAATTCTAGAACCATGTATCCTGTTTTAAAATTTAATGCATTTTTCTACTGCTATTGAGTTATTACTTGTATATTGGTTTATAACTGCTGTTTGTTCTTGCTTTGTTGGTCTGCTAGCTGTTGTTTTGGTGTCATTTGACTTAAAATTACATATGGGTGCATGTTTGTGTGTGGTGTGCTGCTACTGCTCCACATCTGCTGTTGCTACAATGGTTTGCATACTTGTTGGTGATGCTGCACTAGTCTGCTCTGCCATGTTGCTCTAATGTTGCTTTTACTTACACAAACTCACTTTCACTCTCTAGCTCACAGACTCTCACTCACAACCTCTCACGTAAACTCAGTCTCACTCACTGCCTCTCACACACTCACTCAATTGTTCAAACACAATCACTCACAAGCTCGCACACTCGCTCACTCACACTCATTCACTCACACATTGTTTACACATTGTGAATGATCACTCAATTTCTGTTGGACATTGTTTACTCGTGATTCCATTTAGTTTGCTCACACACTAACATACTCGCTTGCTCACACACTCACAGTAGTGCACACACGAAGCTAACTCACACACTTTCACACTCTCACTACTCACATGTCACTACTCATTGCGACACACTGCTCACACAATGCACATTCACACAATCACTCACTCAAGCATTCACTAAATTAATCACTCACTCAAGCATTCACAATCTCAGTCACTCATGAAGGTGCACATCTCTATTCTGGTTTGTTCTTGTCACTCATGGACGCACACGTTCATTATTCATGCATAAACTAAATCACATAGTTTGTACTCACTCATGGACGCACGCATTCACTCAATCACACATTCACTCATGTAGCTAAGTTGTGCTGCACTGCACCGCACTGCACTGAGGTGAGCTGAATATGAGCTCTCCTTGGTAGCCCTCCAAGTCCCCACCCTCTCTTTCTCACTTTTTTCCAATAAGAATATTATTGGAGTTTTATTATGAGCTTTGGATTTAGGAAGTGTTATTAAGGCAGTTAGCTGTAAGACTTGGTTAAGAATCACTATAATTTTAAATACTCTAGATTTACTGGAAGCATTTTTTTCTGAAGCACTTTTACTATGTCTGGTACAGTCCACCGGATTAACACCCTTCAAAATCCCTCCTCCTGATCCCTTATGTTGAACCTAGACATGACAATGGGCATGGGATGCCTCAATTGGTTATACAAAGTAAACAGTGCATATATAATGTGGTTTCGTGCGTATCAATTTTTTTGTGTTGTTGATTTTGTACCTCTTTCAAAATTACAGATAGGTGGTTGTCGAGTCAACCCATGGGCAAAGGCCAACCTTAATTATAGTGCACAGGCACTCCTTATATCTGCAGGTAACACTTGTTAAATAATTGTTTATCTCTAGCTTTGCATCTCAAATCATTTTACATTTTCCAAATGTTGAGTATAATGTATTATTTAACCTATTAACTTTTCATTTTTAATGTTCATCTAGCTTTATAATTGTGATATATTATCTCATATATCTGTCTAGTTTAGTAGATTCCTTGGTCCTTTGAATCAAACACTTCACACCTCATTTCTGTGGCATGTATGAGAAACAGTTAACAAGGATTATAATATCACTTAATATTGACAAAGAAGAAAGGATAGTGTTTTTTGCTGTAACATTTTAACTTTAAAAGGATAGGTGCAGTTTGTTGTACTACTAGTACTATAGCTATTTTTGTTTACGCCCTATTGTACAATTTGTGACGAACATAATTTCTGTGTGCAGCAACCATTTCTTCTTACTTCATTACCGCTGACAAAACTATTCTGGAATGTGCTACAAGACATGCAAAATATGATGCTTCCAAATATGAATAATTGAGCTTGCGTCACAAATTGCTATCAGATTCTCCAAGTGAAAACATCCTGTATGAAGTAATCTGATTAAGCATGTTTTGTGATGATACCATCGTAAACTAGAAGTTTATTGTGAAGGATAAAATTGGCCTGTCAATACCAGCCTTTGTTGTAAAGTTTAGTTAAACTACAGAAGATGATTTTTGATGTTATTTTGCTAGGCATGCCTATCGTGTTGTTGCTGGGATTGGTAATGCTTTTTTGTTTTGGCAGCAAAAGCCTCTGTACACAATTGACGATTATAATTTGGTGTACTGCTCAAGACTTGAGTTGATCAAAATGTAACTTCTCCCATATACTTCATTCTTTGTCAGTCGCAACATTTGAAGTTTCATGTTTGCCAATGCACATTTTTTCAGTGTAAAAATGTTGTTACTAAAAAGAACAGATGTAGTATATATACTATTATACATTATTCTGCAACATGATTACTTCCAGTTCAATGTACTATTTTTCTTTGGAGAAGGTGCATTGCTATCAGGTTCATCTTTCTTTAGAGATTGACAATAGTCTAACTTTGATCAATATTTCGAAGTTTCAAGTACAAGAGACAGCAGCCTCGAGTGAGGTTCATATAGAATGCAATGAGCAACAATTAGATAAAATTCGTTGGGGAAAATGTATTCATTTCAAGGTTGACGCTGCCAAAAAAATTATCAAGTGTGACATTACAAAACTTTGGCATCCTAAATCAATGAAATTATGTATATGTATCTGTTACCCTAGCAATAGGTATATTGGACTATTTTTTGTTGGAATCAAAGAATGAATACAACAATGTTATGAAGGAAGCATAAAAATGGGAATGTGAAGGATAGAAAGTTATGATAGATAATGCCATCACTCTTATGTTCTTCATCAAGAAGTTCAAAATGCATATCGATAGATGGCATCAGCAACTCCGTGTTCATCATTGCTAAGACCGATCACATCAGCAACGGCTTTTGTCTTCTCTGCTCCATTACTAAGAGCAATTCCAAGTTTAGCCAACTTGAGCATTTCAATATCGTTTTCCCCATCACCAATCGCCATAATCTAGAAATAATTAATTGAAATGATTTAGCTCTGTGACAACAGCATTAAGAAAAAAGAACCATCTGTACTGTAGTAATAGAAATTAGAAAGTAAAAGCTGATAGCTTAAAGTGAAATAATTTATTATAGACTATGGCTTCGTTCTTTTCACCCTAAAAATACGCTGATGTGAAATTCAAGTAGTCATAACATTAGAACTTGGGTGGCCTCTTCTGAATTTGGCTGGGTTGCCCTTACCAAAGCCTATCTAAATTTTTATTTCATGTTACTTGTTTTCTAAAGGTGAAAAGTACTTGCCATTTATGGTCAACTTGATTGAATTATCAGAAGCTCCCAGTAAAAAGCCTCAAACAAAAACTTATTGTTGATTTGCAGTGGTAGTCCCCTTACACTATGCATAGAAAAATGATAAATTGATGATGGCTTTGTAAGTTTGTATAGCATAGAAAAATGATAAATTGATGACATACCTCGTCCGCTGATACTCCCAGATGTTGAAGCAGCCATTTCACACCATTTCCTTTTGAAGTCCCATGGGGAACAAGTTCAAGCATGTCTGGAATAGCTTGAACAACACTAGCATGATTTCCGGCTGCTTCCGACCAATATGGCCTTATAGCAGTCTCCACTCTCTCAGCAGTGTCTAAAAACACCAGTTTCTGCAGGAGTCAAAAGATTAGTACAAGTGTATAACGAAGGGAATAAAAGACAGCAAATCTGAAACTACCATTTTCTTCCTAGCCAGGTCACTAATTTAACTAGACTTAAATTCTGTTTGATGGAATTTTACTGATCTTCCAGGACTGTTGATTATCATGCAACAGGACTTCTTGGGTTCTATTCCTGATTCTGGAGAAAAGGTGCTATTCAATTCAAGTTAGACTGATTCAAATAAAACTGTATATTCCACCAGCTCACAGTCCACTACAACTAGCCAAGGTCTATGATGTCTAGAAGATGTGATGGATTTATTGAAATATTGAGAATGTCCTCTCTAGCGTATTTTTCACAGGATAATCAATGCCAGCATACAACCGTGTCGATTGAAAAGAATTTCTGCAATTTGCTGTATCCTGTGGATTTTTTCGTGGTAGCTAATCATGCTCAGCCTCAAAACGAAAACGTTCAAACAATAAGGGATAATTGTCTGAATTCCCTAACTACAGTTGAGTTTGTATAGTGTTTCTAATTACTAAAGTAAGCTGCAGATAGCCTAGGTACATGCCTCTTATTCAAAGTCAGAAAGTGAGACAGATCTGGAAGACATTGATCAAAGACAAGAGTTGACTATTTCCAGAAATTTAATAACAGTATTAATGCAATTATGTCAGTTTCGTGGATGACACCGGGTGCTATAGATTCTTATGACATTACCTTCATCTAGAAATAATTGTCATATTATTTAACCATTATGATGGTTAACAATTTGGGTCATTCCCACACTCTAACCAACACTCAATATAAGAGTATTTTTGTTAAATCCAACTTTTCCAAACTTCCCAAAATAGTATACGTGACTAGTTTCCAAAGGGAAATTTGAAACAGTATATGTGACTTATCTACAAGAAACATCTTATTTAGCTACACGGATGGTTAGATATTGTTGTTTTCTCATGTTGCCTGGATAATGAGACTATTGAGTTTGCTTCTTTCCCATCATCCCAAGGCACCAATTACATTTAGCCCCCACCATGCCGCATGCATCAATAGACCTGCTCATCTACTTCGTATAAGCTAGTTCTTGTGGCCAAAAGCATTTCTTCTCTGATTAGTCCTACAATGATTCTATGCCAGGTTTTATCTTTAGTACATAGTACCTGATTCATGGGAAGCTCAAGTATCTTACCTGTACTTCGGCAGCAGCCAACAGTTGATCAACTGAAGCCATAGTCTCCGCCTGCAGGAATTCAATAAAAAATATATATATATATATATATATATATATATATATATATATATATATATATATATATATATATATATATATATATCAGCTTCCCTAGCAAAAAACTTAATTTATGCATAAATCCCGGGGGATGATGTTGTACACAGAAGCTGACATCACTGCCAGGTACCTTTGGCTCACGGTATACACTATGGAGTGAGTCTACAAGTGGATGATCAAACAATGTTAAGCAACGATCGCCGCAGAATGCAACAAGAGGGATTTGGTGCTCCCAAGAGTAGGAGAAGGCCTAATTTTAGAAGAAAAGAGCATTTTCATTATCATCAAAATCCTCCAAATACCTAATGCAAGTATACAACAGATTATGTTACTTTTGAGGTAGCTTTGAAAGATAGTACATACCTCCCTGCAAAAATCTGGGTCCAAATTCCTTCTTAAAATTTCACGGCCTTGTATTCCATAAACAAGCAATCCCTGGGCGGAAATCAGAACAGCTATTTAATATCGCCAATACGAGAACACAGAGTTTCCTGACTTGGCAGCAAAGACGAAATAAATTGTAAATTCCATTTTGTTTTCAGGTAAGAGTACATCTTAATACATAAGCTTTTTTTATTTACCGGTAAATGACAATCAAGTTTGAAGGTCATTTTATTTATATGCCTACTTTTATACTTTTCCAACACAAATCTGCTCTAATTTTATTCTGAAGATTGGTCAGCTCAGAGAAAGTGGAGGCACGTTTGTCTTCTCATATATTATATAGCCTGGAACTAAAACAGGACTTATATGACCATGCACCAAAGACTGCAATTTAGGCCCCGTTTGGTTTAATGTAAAACATTTTCAATGGAAAATTAGTTTTCATGGAAAACATATTTTCAAGGAAAAACACAATTGCAAATTAGTTTTCCTTTGTTTGGTTGCATACAAGAAAAGTCCAAGAAAAATAAAAAATAAGAGTGGAAATGTAAGGATGAATGAGAGGGAAGTAAAAAAAAAGAGGTAAGGAGGAGAGAGGAAAATGTGGCTTCCCTTGTTTTTGGAAGGAAAATGTTTTCCATCATTAAGGATGGAATTTTCCACCCTTGAAAAATTGTTTTCCACTCCTAAACAAACCAAACAAAGGAAAATGGGAAAAAATGAAAAATTCATTTTCCATGAAAACATTTTACATCAAACCAAACAGGGCCTTAGTGAAAAATAGGTAAACACTTGACACAAGTTTCTCAATTGACAAATGATAAATATTCACAGGAATAAACAAACAGAAGTTACAGCATGTCAGCAGGAATGCCATAAAATCGAGACAAGTACTGAGGTGTACCTGTAAGAAAACACCTGGTGATGATTCAGAGACAATGCCATCTCTTCCAACCAAATCAACAGTCTTCAATGTGTCTATGGCACCAGGACGAGCCTACAAGCATGACATCAATAAAATTCATAACTTGAAAAGCCAAATCCAAGTCCAAAATGGAATGGAATTTACAGGGCAAAACCCAAAATTACCCAGCCAACAAAAAGATTAAGGTGTAAAAGATATAGAAAAGCCATATAGAATTACAGATGAAAATCATGAATATCCAATGTCTACTTCCTCTGTCTCAATTGATGCATCATAGAGAAATGACACACAAACCAATGAGGAGAAAGAATGGAGAGATTTACATTTATTTGTTCATGTGATAAGCTTTAACTATGGTATGTAAAGTAAAAGTAGAGAGATGGACCCCACTTATTTTGAGGACAAGATAGTAATTTCGGACATAAAACCTAAGAAATGATGCACCTAATGTGAAACATCCCAAAGAGGAATATGATGCATATATTGAGAAACAAAGGAAGTATATACTATTATACTGCAATGTTGAGCAAATTAATGCATAAAGCCTGTATGGTTTAAAATGCCACAAGGGCCTAGCCTCACTCACTTTTAAAGCACATTCATCTTCAGCGTATGTTTTTCCATCGTTACTTCAGTAGCAAGGCTTAAGTTTGGCCTTTACTCCAATAGATACTCAAGTGCCAACATTAGATGTAAAAAAGAAAAAAAAAAAAAAAAAAAAAACCCTCAGTAAAAGAGTCATCAGGTGTCTACCACACTCTAACAGCTGAAGATTGGAAGGCAGATTATATATTCCACATTTCCACCTTAATTATCCATATCAATATCTAACATTTTAGTATTATTAATTATCACACGCCTCATCTAATATGTTGTAGACATGCAGTTGACAGATACAGGTTACTTAAAGACATGCAAAAGATAGAGGAATTAACAAACATAAATTCTTACTTTTCCGGTGGCAATGACCACTTGAACACCCCTTGACAATGCCTCCCTGACAGCATTTGCATTTGCAGAAGAAATTTGACTCTTGCTATTCAGCAGAGTGCCTTATACATTAGGAATTTCAGGAAGAAGTATTAGCCACGATAAACTAAGAAAGAAAAATAACATTTGAAGTGGCAATATAAATCTCACCATCCATGT